TAAATTTCTATTTTTCTTCCTGTTGTTGATTTTGTTTTGTGGCTTGTCCTTTAAGGGGATATATAGTAACTGTGTAATGGTGACTATCATATTCAGATGTGAGGATACAATGCAGTATGCATCTCTACTTTCAGGCAAAGACTCCCAATGATAATGTTTACTGTATCTTGACAATAGGGTGCTGGTCTCTGCTATTGTCCATGCCTGCAATGATGGACATATGACTGGGTAAGAAGAACCACCCTATAGTAATGATATAGGAGTTGGGTGGGGAGGAAACTGGGGAGTGGATAAGGGAAATTTCAGGGCCTATGGAACAGTATGATAATAATAAAAAGAAGTAAATTAAAAAAAATGTAATGAAGCCAGAACACTTCTGGGATGGATTTAAGGAGAGGAAATATGGGATAATAAAGGCAAGATAATAGGTTAATGCTTTTAAAAATCTGACTTATCTAGAATCTAAATCAGCAGCAACAGGGAGCGAAGAGGGAACAGTGGTGACCCAACCGAACTGTTAGAGAGCTGTCGGGCCTACCAGCTCTTCTTTGGCTTCTTTGGTTCAACAGTCCCGGATGCAGGGAGATAAAGCCAAGATGGAGATGAGTCTGTCATAGGCAATAGTTCATGTACTTTTCATACCATTTTATCTCCAAACAGCACTATTTTTTTTTAAATAATGAATTTTATTTAAAGTTAGAGACACAAAGAAGGAAAGATCTTCTACCTGTTGATTTACTCCACAGATGACCATGATAGGCAGCAGTGGGTCAGACCAAGCCGGGGCTTCGTTCAGGTCTCCCGTGTGGGTTGTAGGGGCCCGGGTACTTGGGTCATCTTCTGAAGCTTCCTATGGGCCATTATGAGGATGCTGGACTGGAAGTGGAGCGGCTGGATCACAAAGCAGCGCCCATGAGGGACACTGGAGTCACAGGCAGTGGCTTTATCCTCTACACCACAACACTTGCCCCTATTCCATTCATTTATGTTGTTTGCTTATAGAAAGTGAGGATTGTGAAATCTCTTTGCTATAAGCAAATATCTCAAGCACCAACGAGCTAGAGGAAAAAATGCTTGATGAAAGGAGCTTTCTTCTGGGCCCGGAGCAGTAGCCTAGAGGTTAAAGTCCTCACCTTGAAGGTGCGGGAATCCCATATGGGCACTGGTTCCAATCCTGGCAGCCCTATTTTCCCATCCAGCTCCCTGCTTGTGGCCTGGGAAAGCAGTCAAGGATAACCCAAAGCCTTGGGACCCTGCACCCGCGTGGGAGACCTTGAGGAAGTTCCTGGCTCCTGGTTTTAGATCAGCTCAGCACCGGCCGTTGTGCTCACTTAGGGAGTGAATCATTGGATGGAAGATCTTCCTCTCTATCTTTTCTCCTCTCTATATATCTGACTTTCCAATAGAAACAAAAATAAATCTAAAAAAATTAAAAAATAAAAAAATATTCCTCAACCAGGACTAATGCACAACTCACATAATAATTTGAAGAATGGGCGTTATCAGATCACATTGTTGACATTACATTATTGACACATTGGTGGTAAATTGTAGAGCATTTAGAAGACTAGATAAACTATTTCTCTCACATTATTCACCAATTGTATGATTAAGATGTTGAATTTACAGAATGGCTTTGTGATTAAAATTCTGGGCTCAGAAATTATTCCTAGGTTCTCTCAAAGACTGCTTCTTATCATTTGTCTTGATGAACAAATCATTTAACTTCACTCAAAAGGATCATGTAACATCGTTTGGAAGCATATTAATGCCACTAATGTAAAGAATATTTTATGCTTATGACAGATTCATACTTTTTAGTCACTCTATATATATGCATACTCATTTATGGAGAAGAGAATAAATTAGGAGGATAATTGGAAGAAGTACTATATTTTATTTCATATATTAATTACAATATTTACTTTGTACCATGAGAAGAGATGGCAATGAAATATCTGTACATAAATGTAATTATAAAACAAAAGAAGTGTATCAGATAAAAAAATCTAATATTTGAGAACAAGGTTAAGAAGGATTAATATATCAAATTTTTAAAACATGAATGTAACTCAATCCTTCAACATAGAAGTTAATTAATGAAAATATTTTGAATTTCTGATTATCAAAGATGTTATCTCCACAGTCCAACCTAGGCAGCCAGATAACCTTTTTTTCCTTTCTTTCTTTCCTTCCTTTTGTTTTCAGTTTTTTCTTTTCTGTTTCTTTGCATTGCAATCCAAGTCTTTCTTTTCTCTTTCCATCTTGCATGTGAACTCTGAGAAAGTTGTATTTTTATGTTTCTCGCTCCTAAGCTACAGTTGGAATACATCATCCTTAGGGATCCTTTCTCTTGTACGCCTTAGTGTCTTTGTTACCGTGCTGTTTGCCTGGAAAGGATAAATATGTCTACTTTGCTGGGAAACATAATGTAACAGGAGGTATTGTCTCAGAGAAACAACTCTAAACTGAGAATCCTTCGAATAAATGTAAGCAGAGAGAGAAGATTTTGTTTGGGTACAGTGGCTTTTTATTCTGTCAGGAACGAGTACGTCTTTCAGTGTGTACTTGTACTATGAACACTAACTGGTACAAATATTTGAGATACTGTGTTTCATAATCCCAGCTACTCTCTCCTTGCTTCTCTGTCTTTATTGCTAATTTGCCTTTTACATGAGCTGGCCTCTTGTTTTCACTTAAATCACTAGGCATTCAATAATAATTAATATAGCAGACTATTTAGTTTCAAATTGATAGGGAAAAATTGTGAAAAGTGAAGTCCTACTATGAACTTATTATGTTTCACTGTGTGTCAATTTCTCACCTGAAAAGGAGACCACTGCCCTCAGCAGCTCTCAGTCAGCAAAAACTGTTGCTCAATCTGCCATGTTATTAGAGGTTTGGATTCAATGTACAAGATCCTTTCCAGTGATGAATGGCTTTGTTTTGCTTCTCTGTGTCAAAGACAGGAGGTGAATAAACCGGGCCAGTATTGTGTCCCAGGTGTAAGTCATGTTTCGCGATATCTGCATCCCATTTTAGAGCACTGGTTCCAGTCCCAGCTACTCTGCTTTCTCTTCAATTCCCTGCTAATGTGCCTGGGGAAGCAACAGAAGATGGCCCACAGTGTTTGGACCCTGGCCACACTTATGGAAACCAGAATGGAGTTTTGTCTTCTGGCTTTACCCTGGCCGAGCCATGGCTGTTTCAGCCATTTAGGGAGAGAAGCAGCAAGTAGAAAATCTCTCTCTGAGTTTCATTCCCTCTCTGTCATTATACCTTTCAAATAGATAAACAATTGCCTGTGTGTAAGAACATAGTTGCAAATATTGTTTAATCAAGTTTGTTTTATGGTTCTGTCAAAAAACACAATAAGACTAATAGACTACTACAGTATTAATGATCTCTGATGTTTTTAAAGGATTTAGTGTATACACATTATACTTATACAAGTGAAATTGGTATCTTTTTTTTTTCTTTTTTTTTTTTTTTGCTTTTAACTTGTTGAAGTTTTTACTTAATGGAATATTAAACATATGACTGCAATGTAAATGTTAATATCTTACCTTAGAAACTTCGAAAAAAAAGCAAAAAGTCTTTCAAAAGCAAAAAAAAAAAAAAAAAAAAAAAAAGAAGAAGTGAGAAGATGAGGGTAGCCAGTGACAGGTAACTACTCACACAACATTGAAAATCTGTGTCATGTCACAGACAGCAAAAGATAGCACCTTAAATGCCAAAATGAATGCAAGCAGGCAGTAACAGGGAGCTATGCAGGAACTTAAAATGTGTCACAAGCATAGGAAGCAAATTGCCAACAAGAAGACAATCTATCAGAAACAGATGAGTGATTCCAGGGCCTAAAGAAACTTCCTCAACCCCTAACAAGGCCTATTAGTCTGCAGCCAGTGCTCAGAGACCCTGGATGTAAGAGAAACAGGCAAGGAAAAATTGCCAAGAGCTGGTTGGGAGGGCTGCAAGCAGAGGACAGAGCCTGACGGAGTGCTCTTCTGACACTTGCACTAAGTCACATCGCGTTAGAGTTCGCATTAATCAGCAGCAGCATTAGTAACAGCACCTTCTTCCTACCTCCTAAGCAGAATTCTGAGAACCATTAGGTCTATAGCAGAAAAAGAGAAAAAAAATGGAATCTATTTTTCACGTAATTCATATCAAAATCACTTTGAAATTCACACATCCCATGGGTCAGAATTTGGCTTGTTTGCTTAGAGTGTAAGCCGAGTTATCACAAAAACTGCCTCCCATCATTTCTATGATTTACAATGATCAGTAAGCTATGGATTATAGGATGATTCTTTCAAGTATTTAGAGCATCCTGAAACCTCAAAGGAAGTAAATTTAGTGAGTCAAAAAATTTTAAAAAGCAGGAGGTTGTTAAGAACTTACATGTGATTTTAACATATTGTTTACTCAATACTATGCCAATTAACTCCATAATGATATATATTGTTGCTGCTGGGCTTTTAATTGATCGGGATCTTACTTTCTTGGCCATACCTTCAGACCAGGGAAGGTCTCTCCAAGAAGCGGATGAACTTATCTGGATAATAAGATATTGGACTCTATGCTTGGTATAGGCTTACAATGAAGATGTCTCAATTGATCTTGAACTGAGGTCTCACAACAAGGTGGAGGAGTCCACCAAGGGGAGAGGGGTGGGGGGAATCCCAGTGCCTATGGAACTATATCTCATAATACAATGTAACCACAATGTAACCACTAAGTTAAAAAATAAATTATAAAAAAATTTAAAAATCAAAAGTCCCCTTCTTTATCTACTGAAGCTGATCATAATAAAAATGATCCTCCCTGTTTTTAGAAAAAATGAGGCTCTCTGCACTTCAAAGCTTTTTTTTTCTTTACATGATTATAGTGATCATTTGAACCTAATTTGGGGCTTCTCAGACTGAATTGAGCCTTTTTGGTTCTTCAGGTTTTTGAAATGCCGAATGAAAATATAGGGTCTCTTGTTATTTACTTACATTTCATTTTCTTTACACGGTAGGTCCGAGAGCACCAACTGAAACACATATTTAGAACAAAAATCCACATATCTCATCAGTATAATCTTTTAATGCAAGCAGTACACCCAGGCTGTTTGAGCTAATATCATTCTGATTGCTATTATTATTATTATAAACACCATAACAGGGTTTATTTTCAGTGACTTTTTAGTTGAATTTGTAAAAAGTCTCTGTGAAGAATCGTAACACCATCAGTGCTAGGCAATAAAGGCCATGAATCGGATTTCTCCCATACAAACTACACTAGCTGGATGTGAGAACAGTTCCTGACCTTTGTATATGCAGACTTTGGTGGCTCTAAAGAGATTCAGTATGCTTTACGTTTTTTTGTTTAGTTTAGTTTTGTTTTTTGGTTTTCAAGTTTCAGCTATAGGAAGGGGTACATTATTTAGCAGAATTATTTTCGTGGGAAGGGACCCCCTACCAAGTACATAGAAGCAGAAATTAATCCTATTAGCAATAATGGATATTAAATGCATGCATAAAGAGGTGATCTTAACCTGCTCTAATGCTAACATCCATCTAAAATATACCATGGTATTCTTGTTCATACTTGCAATCACTTTTTATCAAAAAAGGAGGGGGGAAAGTGATAACTTTGATTAATTTAATATACCCCAAACACAATGATCTAAATTCTCTGTTTTGAACTTTATATAATATTTCACACTCGCAAAGAAAAAAGAAGATCATTTTTTGATGGTTTTGTGTGTTTCCCCCACTCCTTGAATTGGGATTGCTCTACACAGTGAGAAGCGTAACTTCAAGCGCCAGGTTAATTAAGTCAACAGAAGTACTTTCTTTTCTGAAATGTAACGTACAAATGTAAGTACAAATAAGAAGTAAGATAATTTCAAATGGCAGACATGGGTATATTGGATGAGTTAGGTTTCTTTCCTCTGCATGCATCCTTACTTCTTGTAGTTTACCAAGTTTATCTGAATAGAGATTTGTGGAGATGCAGATGGAACTGTGAATTGGCCATCCGGGAGTATGGTAATAAACAATTTTTTAAGCACAGAAAACGAGTTGCTAGAATGCTGTAAATAGAGCTGCATACTAACAGAGAGGAAAATTAACATTCAAATTTTGTCTATAAATAAAGTTCACTAATGAGTAAATGAAATCGTTTTGGGTTCTGCGTAACAGATAAACAAAAGCAGCATTTTACTTTCAAGTCACTTCCTTGTGCTCAGTGTGTGTCAGGAAGAGGTACACAGTAGCACATTGTTACCAACTCACTGCCAATTCATTAGCTGTCAGACTCCTGAGTTATTATGAAATGTTGAATGAAGTCTTTGAAACTGTTTTAATAGCTTACACCTAAATCTTTCAGATGCATTGCATCCAAGTAATAGATACAGAGATGCTAATTTTGGGCAGAAAACAAAGGGATATTAGAGAAAAAGCAGCAAAATAAACCCCCAAATGGCTCTGACTACATCAGGCAGTATTGAAAAACTGTCAAGCACCAAGTGTGATTGCAGGCAACAGCAAACATGGCTTTAATTAATCCACCCAAAGCATTTACCTCGAAGTTAATAGCATCATTTTATTGTTAAAAACTTCACAGCATAGCCAAGTTCAACAAAGTTTCATTTGCATCACATTATTTTGATATCCATGTTAATACACGAACAAAAAATAAGACATTGTGAACATTTTGTTTTCTGTGTCTCTGAGCATTGAACGTAATAAATTACAAGTTGCTGGTAATGCTGTCATAAGGAAAACCTTTTAAAGCCAGAGTAAGTAATTTGCACAAGGAATACATTTGTAGGAACTCTAGTGCTTAAGGTGCCTTTCAAAATCCTTTCCCAGAACGAGAGATGATTACCTGAAAGAGTGACAAACATAAGGTTCCTGTAGTTGAGATCACTGAAGTGACACCAAAGGGTCTGATTCTTGACATGATTAAAGGCCAGTCTGCCAGCCAGCAGTCTCTTCGCTGTTTATCCTCCTCTGCTTCAGAACTTGTTAGCTTCTCTATACATCACGCTTCGTAGCCGGGCAAGTGTTAAGGATGGCTCTTTTAGATTAGTGCATGCTGGGGAGTGGAATGTCAGGTGCATGCTCACAGGTACCAGGAGTTCAAGGAATTTCAGGTTAGGTCAGCACATGGCTACTGTTGGTTAGGACCTTAAAAGTAGAGCTTATAAATGCAGAACTATTAGGCTAGCTGGCTGATTAAATGGCATCCAACATTCAGGTGCATGTTTTATTCCAGAGAACTTGTGTTTTTATATGCTGTCATTTAGAACACTTATTCAGTTTCATCTTCTTTCTTGGTCTTTTTTTTAACCTGTTTTTACTACATATAATTTTCAATCCTTTTCTTTTTCACCAAATCTTGTACACAAAGCTTTTCTTGTTTTATAAATGGGTCCATATATGACAGTTTTCAATTCATCTCTTTAACAGTGTGTATTTCAGTGTTATTTTAATAAAATAACCCCAACATTGCCAACAAAAAAAAATTTGGAAAATTGCCTAGGAAAATTCTTCAAACTGCTAACCAGTATATATTAAAATTTATTATAAAGGTATAGCAATCCACAAAAATTGGTACTGACCCATCCAAACAGTAAAATAAATGAAACGATAAGCTTGGACTTAGATTTAAATGAACAGAGACACTTTTGATCATCATTTTCAGTCACTGCAGAAAACGGTGTCATTCCAACAGCCATGAAGGACAGAAGGTAGCAGTGATTTTAAAATATTTATGTTTCCTTATAATTAGATAAATATACTATGCATTGATGACCAAATTGCCAGGCTCAAAAAAAAATCTATATAACTCGGGAGGAATAGTTATGAGGAAACAAATTAAAAAAATGCACGGTTGAGAAAACTGTACAACTTCTTTGGGAGAAAACTGGTGCTATCTAGCAACACAAACAGTAAAAATATTCTAAGCCAAGAATTCTTCACCAAGTGTCTATCCTACAGGTGCTTCTACACATGAAATAAATAATCATATGCAAAGATATTCCTTGAAATATCATTGATAATGCTTTGGAAATCCCAAATGTCCACCAACATATGGCTGGTTAAATGCTATATGATTGTAGTCACTGAAAAGATGCTGGGAAGATGGTTGAAAAGGTGGATGCAGGTGTAGAAAGCGCTCTAAGGAGCATTAACGGAATGGACGGCCATAGACTAATATCTGCATCATGCTACCTTTTATGCTTAGGGCATGTTAGCTATGGTGGTTCTCGCTATATAAAATATACACATGTGTACTTACATACACAAAATATATAATTACATCAATCTGTTAATAGTGATTAACGCTGTAATTAGGAACTGAGAGACTAAGGAAGCAAGAATAAGAATAAAATTACCTTTCACTATTAGATTTCTGTATTTTGGGTGTATAAGTCTTCTTCAGAAAAGTAATGGAAATGCACAGCACATAAAAGGAAGACGTGATTTTGAAAACTTTTTTGCTTCAAGATAAACATATCTTTTAACTGTCTTTTTCCAATAAATTTTGAAGCAGTTGTGTTGTGTGCATTTTATAGCATCTCTATGATATTAATTATATTATCTATTTATGTATGTCTAAGGACCAGTTTTGAAACAGATCTAGAATATCAAACAAATGTATTATAGTTCAAACTGATTGAAGCTCTACAAATTTAACTCAAATTATGATAATGGAAACCATATATGATCACATACATAGAGAGTACTAGGAACAATGCCATGTTATCGGTTTACCTAAATAAACTACCATTCTGAATTGAGCACTGAGATGTGTGAACTAGTCGAGTTGCATTTAGATGGGCTGAGCAGACTCTGCAGTGGCCTTGATCTGTTTAGTATGTAACCAAGGTCACTGACATGAATCTCAAGGCAGAGGAAGGGCTGAGTGCCAACATCAAAAGGAAAAAGTAAAACAATGTTTAATGTTATTTATCCCTAAGACAGTCACCATTTTGAGTGTCTCCAAGTCTGTAATTAAACAGAATAAAACATTTTCACTGATAAATTTAAGTGGTTAGAAGTCTGGCTTTGGTCAGTGGAATCAATGATTTAAGAATTTCTGGAAAATGAGAGCAAGATCAGATAACTCAAAAAGAGATAGAGTGGAGACAAGGGCAGCACAACTGGTCTCGTTTTAGAAACTGCAGCAAAGGGAGCCAGTGCCTTGGCTCACAAAGCTTCTCCTCCACCTTTAAGCATCCCATGTGGGAGGCAGTTTGTGTGCTGCCTGCTGCACTTCTGATCCAGCTGCCCACTTATGACCTGGGAAAGCACTAGATCAAGTGCTTGGACCTGGCACACCATGTGGGGGACCCAGAAAAGGCTCCTGGCTTCTGGTTTCAGTAAGTTAGATTCACCTATCGCAACCATGTGGGAAGTGAACCAGCAGACAGAAGATCTCTCTGTGTCTCCTTTTGTGTGTAAATCTGCATTTTAATAAAACATAAATACATAAGTAAATCGCAACAAAGTCTATCCAGATGCATGGGTTGAACATTCTTGTCAAAAAAAGTAAGAAGAGAGAGAAAGGGAACTTTTATCCCTTGGTCCATTCATTCATTTCCCACACGGCCACAGTTGAGCCAGCCCGAAGCCAGAGCTTGCAAATTCATCAGGGTCTTTCACATAAGCGGCAGTGACCCAAATACCTGGACAATCTTCGACTGCTTTCCCCACACCATTAGTAGGGACCTGGATGAAAAGTGGAGCAGCCAGAGTATGACACAGCACACAAATGGGTATGAGCATCACAGAGCATCTTTAACCACTATGCCACAATACAGTCTCTTCTAGTTCTACTGTTTATGAGAAGAAATTAATTCTTCAATAAACAGGTACATATTAACGAATACAAAAACTGACCTTGGGATCCCTAGCCTGGAAGAAGTCCACATTTTTGTAGCTCCGAATTCACATCAATATTTGTGCATAAAAGTCATAAAAGGAACTAAGGACAAAAATTATAAAGATTAAGAAATAATACATAAGAACACAAATAGAAATGGGCATGCACATAGAAAGTGGAAAGAACGAGCAAGAAAGAACATTACTCTTAAAGCCAAAGGAGCCACTGAAGGGTATAGAAGTCAGAAAACCTCGGCTGAAGTCACCACTAACTAGTATTAGTAACTAGTAGTACGCAAGGCACTGAAGTATTAGTAACTAGTAGTATGCAAGGCACTGATCTTCTTAGGAAAATATTCTCTAAAATGAAAATGATATTATTGTCTTGATCCCTCAGATAATTTTATCTAAATATAGAATTGAAAATATTGACTTAAAAGAACCATTACATAAACATAATAAATTGATTACTATAGATAGTAATAGTAAAACTAAAGAATTCCCAAATCAGTTCAGCATCCCATAGAAAGTATAATGAGAGTAATGTAAGGCACACAATCAAGCACCATGCTGTATCAGTCCATTATTTTGTATCATTTGTTTCTTTTCCTACTTAGAAAGTATTAATCACTTCATCAAAACAATGGCCAATTTTCAATCTTCATCTTATTTGAAATAGAAGTCAGCATGTGTCATAATTAATCATCTCTAACACTTTGCAACACCTTTTTCACCCAGCTGCTGGAACAATGAGTTTCCTGACTTTCTTTTCTCTTTTTTGGCCATTTTTATCCGTTACCCCAGAACTGACACATGAGAGATGTCCTAAGATGCAGCCTTCAGAATCATTGCTTGTCTACATGAATTCACTCTCTCAGAAACTTCATTCCATTTCCTTGATTATCATCTATAAAGTCAGTTTTTAAAATTACTTTGTTCAATCCAGATCTCTGCTGAAATTATTCAGTGCCCGTTCTGCGTCACCATTTGCATGTATACTAGACTTCTGTAAATATCACAGCCTCAGCATGACGGTTGAATGGCTAAACCCTCAGCTTGTAGGCGCCTGGATGTCATATGGGCTCCGGTTCGTGTCCCAGCTGCTCCACTTCCCACCCAGTTCTCTGCTTATCACCTGGAAAAGCAGTGAAGGATGGTACAAAGCCGCAGGACCCTGTACCTACATGGGTCCCATAAAGCACTCAGATCAACTCAGCCCTGGCTCTTGCAGCCATTTGAGGAGTGAACCAACAGAGGGAAAACTTTCTTTCTGTATCTCCTTCTCTCCTTAAATATTATATCTTTTTAATAAAAATGAATAAGTCTTTTCATAAAATAAATAATAAATAAATGTATCATAAATGTAGTCTTTGGTCTCTCATGTTTTCCATCACAAATATCCTTATTTCGTTAATTTCTAATTATTTCATTTGGACTGCTCACATGGAATCCTCACACTGGAGGGAAGAGAGAAGAGGAGAGAACAAGCGAGCTCTGTACCAAGACCCAGATCTTGAAGCACGACCTCCGTCCACACCTCCCACTCGGGATGCTGGGGCAGGGCAGGAGGTGAGCATGAGGGGTGTTCTGCTGAGGCTTCACTACTGCCTCCTAGGATCAACTTCACTCACAGAAAACTCAGAAACTTGCAGGATTTAATAGCAAAGTTGGATGTCAAAATGCGGCACTCCAACATGGGATCTGAGCTTCTTAACTATCATTATAGCAACTAAGCCAAATAACCCACTATAAATGTTTTTTATTCTAGATTTAATAGACCATTTCAATCTAGCAACAAATCCTGTAGCATCTACTTTTAGAATATAGACAGGCCTCCACCAGTTTTCCCTGACGTTACCATCTGGTTTTCTCCTAATTATTCATAAACCATAATTGTCTATCTTCAGAACCATTGCAGCATCTTTTAAAGAACTTTTACACTTCCCGAGCTATAATCCTCTCTCAATTTAGCAATCAAAGTGATCCCCCTAACTGCACATCATATCTTCACTTCTCTATACAAAACTCCCAAGTAACTTTGTAAGGTAAATTCTCATCTCTTTTTTTGGCTTC